AAGTAGCTGGGACCACAGGCGCACACCACCACTCCTAGCTAATGTTTTAAATTATTTGTAGAGATGAGGTCTCCCTATGTTGCGTAGGCAGGTCTCAAACTCTTGGACTTAAGCGAGCCTCCCAACTCAGTCTCCCAAAGTGCTGGAATTATAGGCGTGAGTCACCATACCCGGTCTCAAAAATGTTAAGACTCTCTAAAAACACTTTCACAAAAGCATACAAAGATGGAGAAAATGTAAATGTCTATCTTTGCAAAGTTCATCCTATAATTTCCTAACACACAGATACAGAAAAAAAAACAGGTATATTTATACAGAATTACAGGTGGTGTTGCTTTCTACAGGAAATAACATCAGTGATACAGATTTCAAAACCTCACCTATTAGACATAGGGCAAAATAGGCTGGGTGCAGTGACTCATGCCAGCACTTTGGGAGGCCAAGGCAGGTGGATCATCTGAGATCAGGAGTTTGAGACCAGCCTGGCCAACACGTCTCTACTAAAAATACAAAAAAATTAGGCGGGTGTGGTGGTGGGCACCTGTAATCCCAGCTACTCAGGAGCCTGAGGCAAGAGAATCACTTGAACTCAGAGGCAGAGGTTGCAGTGAGTTGAGATGGCACCACTGTACTCCAGCCTGGGCAACAAGAGCAAAACTCGGTCTCAAAAAAAAGAAATAGAGCAAAACAAAAACTTTTCCTTCACATTATGTTGCAGTTTTGCAAGTGAACAGACTTTAAAATGCTAAGAATTAATGCAGTATTTATAAATCTGTCAAAGACTTTGATGCATATAATAGACAATCTGATAATGCATATGCACAAAACAAGTGGTTATTAATGAGTATCTGAGCATTCAAAAATGACATATTAAAAAGATGAGTTATATAATCATTCTGTTTATATAATTATCGTATTTAAACTCCCCTGAAATTAAAGACCTTAAGGACACCTCTTTTACTTCATTATTTAAAACCATTCACAAAATTCAACCACATTTTTATTATACCCCAAATAAAATTAACCCAATTTAGTCAAAGCAATACTATAGAAAATTAAATCAATAATTATCCTTTAGCACGCATATAGTGTTTATCCTGGTTTCTCTTAAGGCAATGGCCAAAAAAATAAAATCCTAGAAAAGAAATTCCTCCTATATTTTCTTTATATTCCATAAATTACTTCCTAAAAAATCAAGAGCAAATATACATTACTGAAGTCTATTGCTGATTATATACTTCCTTATGTTATTCCATAGACAGAGATGGATATCTAATTTATAGAATACTTTCCAGAATATTTACCCAGAATGTGCTTACTACCTAACAATCACTGTTAGTCAATCTGGAATTAGGTTTGTGAGTATATAGTCCTGTTACTCTCCAATTCTCTCATGCTGGCAAAATATACAAGGTCAAAAAATCACATTCTTGGAAAGCAGCGTGCTTGGAAAACTGGCAATACTAGCAGACTTCACTTTTAAAAGTGAGAAAAGGATATAGAAATGGCCAATTAGCACAGGAAAAGATGCTCAACATCACTAATCATTAGGGAAATGCAAATCAAAATCACACTGAAATACCACTTCATACCCATTATAATGACTATTATCAAAAAATTAAAAGGCAGAAAATGAGTGATGGTGAGGATATAGAAAACTGGAACCCTCATGCATTGCTAATGGGAATGAAAGATGGTCCAGTTGCTGTGGCAATATGTATGGCAATTCCTGAAAAAATTCAACATACGATCCAGCAATTACACTTTCTGGGTAGATACCCAAAAGAAATGAAAGCCAGAACTTAAACAGGTATCTGTATGTCATGGTCACGGCAGCATTATTCACAATAGCCTAAAGGTGGAAGCAACCCAAGAGTCCATCAATGAATTAATAGATTAAAAAATATACGGTATGTCTAGACACTGAAATTATTCAGCCTTCAAAAAAGAACGAAATTCCGACACCTGCTACAACAGAGATGAACACTGAAGACACTTGACTAAGTGAAATAAGCCAGTCACAAAAAGACAAATATTGCATGGCATCACTTACAGGAGGTACATGGAGTAGTCAGATTCCTAGAGACAAAAAACAGAATGGTGGTTGCCAAGGGCTGGGGGACTGGAAACAGGGAGTGAGTGTTTAATAGGTACAGAGCTTCAGTTGGGGAAGATGAAAAGGTTCTGGAGATGGATGGTAGGGAGGGTTGCATGACAATGTCAAGGTACTTAATGCACGTTTAAACATGGTTAAAATGGTAAATTTTACGTTATGTATACTTTACCATTATTTTTAAAAATGAGAAAAAAGACATTAAAGCATTAAAGAAAAAAAGACATTAAAGCATGTGTCCACAGGAAGGGGAACATCACACACCGGGGCCTGTCATGGGGTGGGGGGAGTGGGAAGGGATAGCATTAGGAGATATACCTAATGTAAATGATGAGTTAATGGGTGCAGCACACCAACATGGCACATGAATACATATGTAACAAACCTGCCCATTGTGCACATGTACCCTAGAACTTAAAGTATAATTTAAAAAAAAAAAGAAAAACCAACAAACAAAAAAGCATGTGTCCAAATTCTTCTCATGCATGCTTTTCACTACCCACAAAACTAATACCCTGACTATGAGTGACCAGTGAAGTCCTAATTTAATTGTTTACCATAAGATCCAAGAAATTAGTGTAAGTTTTTAAACTCCTTCTAATCCTAAAAAAAAAAGTTTAACTGGATTCCTCAGAATGAAGTCCTTCACAGATATAGACGTTAACAGCTATTACATATCTACTTCAGATTAAATAAATTACTAAACATCAGTGTCTCCCAACTTTGTATTTCAAGCATAGTTCAATCTAGAGTGTTTCCTTCATTTTCTCTCCAAAGTCTCATGATGACTATTTTCATTTTTACCAGCAAAATCTCTAGTCAAAATTGTCTCCCCCAAAGTTCACAGGAGCTCATCTTTACTGACTGGTAGATAAATCATCTTTACAGTAATCGGTATTCAGTTTCCAAAAATTTTGTATAAACATTGGAATCTTATTCATGAATCTCTCTCCCTTTCTAAAAAAAAGTATTCATATGGAAAAAATAGAAGCTTGAAATACCCTAAGCTAAATTTTGAGGATCTTTTCCGGTTACATTCCAGTTTTTCTTATACCTTCTGAATTCACAAACTGTTACAGAAATAAGTCTGCAATAATGAACTAGCAAACCAGGTTGCCTGGTTTCCTCTAAGCCACTAAAGCTCATTGTGTTGTTCATATCCCCTTTCTCCCATTCTTCAGTATTCAGCACATAAACATCCACCTTTAAAGGTAAACTCTGATAGTTTCCACACTATAAAAGCTATGTTCTGATATTTTTCAAACAACACCTGTTCATGAACATGAAGCAAACATGATGCAAATTAAAAGGGAAAAAAACTAACCACATACCCAAACAAAAGTTGAAATGCCTAATTTAGAAAAAACTCGTCATATTAAAAACATGTTGGGCCGAGGATGGTGGCTCACGCCTACAATCCTGGCACTGGAAGGCCAAGGCAATTCAAGACCAGCCTATGCAACATGGCAAAACCCCATCTCTACAAAAAAATGGAAAAATTAGCTGGGCGTGGTGGCATGCTCCTGCAGCCCCAGCTACTTGGGAAGCTGATCCCAACTACGTGGGAAAGGGAGGATCACTTGAGCCTAGGAGGTAGAGGTCACAGTGAGCCTCAACCTGAACTCTTTTTTTTTTTTCTCCCGAGACAGAGTCTTGCTCTGTCACCCAGGCTAGAGTGCAGTGGCACAATCTTGGCTCACTGCAACCTCTGCCTCCCAGTTCAAGCAGCTTGAACCTCAGCTTCCCGAGTAGCTGGTATTACAGGTGCCCACCACTGCACCTGTCTAATTCTTGTATTTTCAGTAGAGACAGGGTTTCACCATGTTGGTCAGGCTGGTCTCAAACTCCTGACCTCATGATCCACCTGCCTCGGGCTCCCAAAGTGCTGGGATTACAGGCGTAAGCCACTACGCCCGGCCTCAACCTGCACTTTCACTCTGTCCCCACTGAACTCTAGCCCGAGTGACAGCATCAGACTGTCTCAAAAGAAAATTTTAAAAAACCCAAAAAACTTGTTTGTAACAAATTTCAGGCCAGGCGCAGTGCCTCACACCTGTAATCCCAGCACTTTGGGAGGTCAAGGAGGGCAGATCACTTGGGGTCAGGAGTTCAAGACCAGCCTGACCAACCTGGTGAAACCCTGTCTCTACTAAAAATACAAAAATTAGCTGGGCATGGTGGCGGGCACCTGTGCTCCCAGTTACTCGGGAGGCTGAGGCAGGAAAATAAATTGAACCCAGGAGGTGGAGGTTGCTGTGAACCAGCCTGCGCAACAGAGGGAGACTCTGTCTCAAAAGATAAAAGTAAAAATAAAAAAATGAACAAATTTCAAAGAAAAGATCATACTAAACAAGTATGATCATCATATATCTTTTCTACTTGTACTATCTGAAAACAAGAGTGCATGTAAACAACTATAAATGGACAATGTTTTTCTTGATTTTTAAAAATGAATTCTTCCAAATATCATTTTCTATATGTAAATTAATGAAGTACCATCCCCTCTACTAGAGTCTACTTTCTAAAGCAGCATAATCTGTAGATGTCATTGTATATAATGTATCCACCTAAATGTCAACAGAAGAAAAAATGAAAAACACAAACGCAGATATCTTAAAGTTTTCCTAGTACTTAGTTTACCTACTCATCAATGTGAGATATTCTCCTGATAATAAGTTTCTTTTAACTTGCCCAAAGACAGACTAAGTTGACCCTTTAAAAAGGAGAGTGGGTATATCTGGTCACACATTAGGAACTTCAATGTGTGTGAAGTATCCCATCCCTTCAATTTGCAATACATATAAAACTCTACAAAAAGGAAATTATATATAGATGTAGAAAGATCAATTGAAAAAGAATGAATGCATCACCTGGTCATGAGCCTTACCTTTTAGCAGCGGCAGAGGTGTTAACTCAATAGGCTTGCCTTGAGACCTAAACTGTGAGGAACTTTGTGACCTCTTCTGTCTGGCTTTTCTGACGGACTTCCGAGAAAATCCGTCTACTTTATCCACTGATGGAGGAGTAGTTGGTGCTGAGGACATATCCCTACTGAAGAGAAAGAAGTATCATAAACCCATACATTCCCAAGGTGGAAGCATACATGTGAGTTACACAAATTCTAAAATTCCCATATACGATATTCATGAAAATGGGAATATGTGCTAAAGAAAATAAAATCAGTTAAGAAGAGTCTTATCTTGGCCAGGTGCAATGGCTTACGCCTGTGATCCCAGCACTTTGGGAGGCTGAGATGGGTGGATCACTTGAGGTCAGGAGTTCAACACCAACCTGGCCAATATGGTGAAACCCCACCTCTACAAAATTACAAAAATTAGCTGGGCATGATGGCAGGTGCCTGTAATCCCAGCTACTCGGGAGGTTGAAGCGGAAGAATCGCTTGAACCCGGGAGGCAGAGGTTGCAGTGGGCCAGGATCCTGCCATTGCACTCCAGCCTGGGTGACAGAGTGAGATTCTGTCTTTAAAAAAAAAAGGGCTGGGCCCAGTGGCTCACACTTGTAATCCCAGCACTTTGGGAGCCGAGGTGGGCAGATCACTTGAGGTCAGGAGTTGGAGACTAGCCTGGACAACATGGTGAAACCCTGTTTCTACTAAAAATACAAAAATTAGCCAGGTGCAGTGGCATGCACCTGTAATCTCAGCTACTCGAGAAGCTGAGGCAGGAGAACCGCTTGAAGCCAGGAGGCGGAGGTTGCAGTGAGCCGAGATGGCACCACTGCACTCCAGCCTGGGCCACAGACCAAGACTCCATCTCAAAAAAAAAAAAAAAAGGCCAGGCACGGTGGCTCACGCCTGTAATCCCAGCACTTTGGGAGGCCAAGGCAGGCAGATAACCTCAGGTCAGGAGTTCGAGACCAGCCTGATCAACATGGAGAAACCCCATTTCTACTAAAAAAAAAAAAAAAAAAAATTAGCCAGGCGGGGGGGCGCATGCCTGTAATCCCAGCTTGAACCCAGGAGGCGGAGATTGCAGTGAGCCGAGAGCACGCTATTGCACTCCAGCCTGGGCAATAACAGCAAAACTCCTTCTCCAAAAAAAAAAAGAAAAAAAAAAGTCATATGTTAATGGGAAAACATGAAAATTTGGTGAAAATAATATAAGTATTATGGAAATAATATCAGAACTCTAATGTATTGTGCCACTCCATTATAAGCATTAAAGATATTCATTGAGGCTTAAAGAAATCTATGCTGCCTGCCCATTTTCTAACTGCAAAGCTCTTCACATCTTCAAGTAATTTTTGGAGCTATTCTGTAGCTGGAAAACTTCCATCGATACATTTTCCCAAGATATTTAATATTATGAATGGGTTCTGGAGTTAAAACCCTTAGTGTACTTCAAGAATCTATACCAATGTATCAGAGCAAGGTGAAATTTACTACTACTGAAACTATCTAGGCATAACTTTTAATGGGATGTGCTATGTAAGCTGTGATAAACTATACCACACTGCAAATGAGGACAGGCTACATTACTTTAAACAAAACACATAAAAGGTATAATTAAAATATTTCAAAGAAGTCTTCTTTTTGAATAAAGCCACCTTACATTATTAAAGCTTAATAAAAACTATGAGGAAATCAAGCACCAAAGTTGAACTAAAAACATAAATTCACAGCCTACTGAAACAATCAAGTTGAGTTCCCTTGAGGTTTAGACCTTGAAGTTTAGTTCATCATCAAATATCAATTTTCATTCCATCAAACTTATGGAACCGAACCGCACTTTTGCATTGTTTAACCCTCTTGAGTTATTAAAATGAAGGCTATTTCCTGAAAGTAACAAGCATTAAGCTTAATTTCATTCACCAATTTAAACAGATGCCATCATTTCCATGGCACTGAGGTTCCATGCAAGACTAACGGCAGACTCGGAAAGAAATAATGCTTATGGGGGAAATGCTGAAATGCAATTACTCACCTGTCATTCCAATACACAAGACAAGTGGTTTTTAACTTCTAAATAAAAGAGTAAGGGAATTTCTTCCTGAACACGTGAGAACAAAAAGTTACCTGGATTACGTGGATTTTGACAATGAAAAAATAATAAAAAATATTTAAAAACACATACACACATATGATGTTGACGTTTGGAATTTGGAAGTCTTCTTTGGTTTTCTTAAAAAAAAAAAAAGTTTTTAAAAATCCACCTAATTTAGCCTTAATATAATGTGATGGATACAAAACAGAATCACAAACTATGAATGACTATAGATGTTAAGATCACTTTAAAATATCAAAATGACTGCATCAGCCAAAAGCTCCACATCTTATTTGTACGTTGTAAATTTAGGGGCCGATTTTCCAATCGGGTATGTGAATTATTTAGACTTCATTCTAACTCTTAACACTACAAAATTTCAGTAAATCCTCTTCCTCTATCGTTCTTTTTGTCTCTTCTTTATCCCTCATCTCTCATTCCTACAGATGATATATAGGTAGCTTTTTAAAAAATCATTTACCCCGTATGCCCGAGGCCCAGAGTAAGTGTCAGGGATCGCAACCCTGAAGCATTGCAAAACTGAACGTAAGGTAACAGCGGGTCCGTGCAAAGCCCAGGGAAACAGGTTTCGCCCTGGGCCAGGGCGCCCGAAGCTTTATCATCCTCTAATCAGCAGGCACAGGGCATTTCCACGGCTCAGGATAATCCAAAGGGGGTAAGGGGAAGTAGGGAAAGACAAGGAAGGGGTTTGTCTGTGGGGATGCTTACATACACCCTTTGCTCCTAACCCACACCCCAAGCCCTGGAGAAGATAAGCTGCTAGAGAATCCTCCTCACACCAAACCCCCTTTATTCCCCGCCCCCGCCAGTGGATAAAGGGGGGCAAGAAAACGCCTCCAATCCCAGAAGGTGGAGAAAAAGGGGGGAGGGGGCAGAGTGAATGAGAGGCATCATCAGAAGCATTTGTAGGTAAATCAGACAAGTGGGACGGGCGCTCCCGCTCCTGCACCCCACCCCACCGCACCCCTCGCCTGCCCGGCCAGGCCTTCCCAAGGCCGGTGCCCCATAGGTCCTCCAGGAGGACCGGGAGGAAGAAGAGAAGCGGGCGAGCCGCGGTGCTGGAGGGACGAAGTTACCTTGAAGCTTCTGGGGAAGAATCCGAAGATGATCTGTGGCTTGGAGGGGCGGGAGACGGGCGAGGGGGCCGCAGCGGGGGCGGGCGGCGGGACCGGGACGTGCAGGGGGAGGTCCGGGCAGCTGCAGGGAGCCCGGGGCGACGGCTGTCCGGTGCAGGGTCCCTCCGGTTCCGCGGCGGCGGAGCCTCTAGGCCTCACGGCCGGACCCGAACCTCAGCGTTCCGGTGGCGGCGGCGGCCTCACGATCCTCCCCCGCGGGCCCGTCCCATCAAATCGGCACCGACCCCGTTGCGGCTCCGCCGGTGGCTCCTCGCTCACATTCCTGGCGGGCGGCGCCTCAGCTCGTTGCCCCGGACCCGGCGGCGGCGGCGGCGGCGACGACGTGGGGAGGGGGGGAAGGGAGGGAGGAAGACTGGATCTGCAGCGGCAGCAAGAGAAGGGGACAGGAGAAGGAAGAGGAGCCGCAGGAGCTGGAGCCGCCGCTGCCAGAGCCACCTTTCGCTACCCGCGGTGGGTCCCCGTCAATGCCCCTTTCTCTCTCCTATTGTCAATATCACCGGGCGGCTGAGTCCATGGCACACGCGCAACCGAACCTTCTGACCAGCAGCGCCCGCCTCCGGCGCCCGCCCACTGGAGACTTCAAACGGGAAGCGAGGCCTCATTGGTCAGTATCCGCCTTCACTCCCCTGACAGCATGTTCGGTTGAGACCTGATCAGGGATTGGCGGCAGGAGGGCGGAGAAACAGGAGAGTGGGAAGAGAGGAGGTCGAGGATTGGGCCGAAGCGTGAGGGACCCGGATGCAGCCGCGATCTCTGGCGGTGCAGCCGCCGCTTCCGCCCGGCGGTGGGGCAGGCTGAAGTGGGAAGCCGCTGGGCCTGAGAGGAGCTGTTAAATTCCGGGAGGTGTAAGACTAGCAGATCAGCTGGCTGGCTTTCCGTCCTGTGCGGAGCCTTTGGCGGCGGTCGTCTTGGACCAGAGGGTTCCAAGGGCATGGGTCGGCTAAGGGTGGGGGAGCCCCCGAGACTTGATCCCGCCCTGCAGCTAGTGTGGCCCCTCAGGGCTTGGGGAGTCCCACTCTGGACGGGACCCTGCGATGCGTAGACAGGAATAAGATCTCCGGCCCGCGCCGGTGCGCCACTGGTTGTGTAAATGGGTCCCTTGAAACCCCCAGCAGTCGCTCTCCGCTGAACCTTCGAATTCTCTCTCACCTCGTCTCCTTTTCCTTAAACGTCTGTTTTGAATATCAGCCCCCTGGAGCGTTGAGGCCAGCGCTGGTTTAGTTAATGCAGGTGGGGAAAACGCTGTCGCCACAGTTTGCAGTCTATTCATCTATTCATTCAGAATATCCGCCCCCGCCCCCCGCCGCAGGTCAGCCGACTGCTCAGAGCTCGGAAAGACCCAGCTCCAAACTAGGAGTTTCAAGATTTTAATTGGCAAGTTGGACCCGAAAGAGTTAATGGAGAAGACTACTTAAATCTATCTAGAACAAGTGATGAGATATTTGGAGATGTGTTTGTATGCTTGGTGAATGCAAACGGCCAAATGGTACATTTCCAGATAATATTCCTGGATTAATGTTATTTGAATGCATCCTACATACATTTTTTGAGAGGAAAAAAGAAAAATTATTAATGCTAGCTACAAACGTCAGAGTACCAGTTGTTCAAAACTTAGAAAATGGGGAGGGGGGGAACAAAAAAATTTAACATTCATATTTTCTCAACTCAGAGATAACCAACTACAGTATTTGCATACTTCCTTTTAGTAGTTTTTATATTAATAATGTGTGTCGATCTGTAGCCTAGTTTTTTCCCTCAGCATTATATCATCTTTTCGATACGTTTAGGGAATAGAGCTATATATAAATAAAACTATATGTACCATATGTACAAGTGACAACGAAAAATGCATTTGCATTTCTCCTGTTTGTGTTGTTAAACACTAGAGTTTTGAAATTTTCTTTGCACACTCCCAGAAATGGCTCTTGAGTGGAAAAATAATTTTGTGCCATGAAAGATAAAAATATTCCTGCTTTGAACTGAAATTGAAAACGAAAAGATGACTCTTAGATGGAAGCAGGCTCCCCCTACTGACTCCAGATGATTGGCCACTGTATGGCGAGTGCCCACTTTTGCCGTGATAAAGTTCATTACCACTAAGTATGAACTATAGAATACCAGCAGTCTGGTTCCTACCCTCAAGAACCTTAAATTTCCGTGTCTCAATATCCTGTACAGTCTTCATGAAAGTTCAGTGTCCCACCCAAGGACTTGTTTCTTCTATCTTTGATTGAGGGTAAATGCAGAATTAAAACCAAGGAAGATTTTGAAGCCAATTCAATTTCCCTTGGCAACAGTTGAACTGTTAAAAGCATAGTGCACGTTTGAAATTCTCACAGCTGTTGCTTAGAACATGTCACAGAGTGGGGATTTTGCTTGCAAATTATGGATCTCTATAAAGACAATTCATTTCAAAGTCATTTCACTTTCTATAAAATGGCTGAGCAACTGAAATGAGCAGGTTTTTTAAAATGGAAACATCCTTGCCTATGTGAGAAATTGTTCTCTGGACCAGTAATTTCTCCCATGTATCCCGGGGGTTTGGGTACTCCAAGAATAGTGCAAGACGATCTATTTGGGATGCAGTAAAAGAAAGTATTAGGAAATATATTTACGTTTAATTTTAATCTAAAGGGCATTACAGTCAACTACTATTTTATATAGAGTGAATGGCTGTGCCCTCAGTACATGGAATGGTGCTTTGGCCTAGAACAGCATAGGAGATGTCCTTAGGGAAACTGGGAGTTGCCCATTCCTAGGGGTTGACAGTGGTGGGCCCACCCAATCAGCCCCTGACAACATATGACTTATTGCAGTTACTTATTGCAGTTTCTGGATTCAACTAAATGGGCTTACTGATTATATTATCTAAATTAAATTAAACTAACCCTCATAAAACAGACAAATGATTCTTAAGAGTCCTTTGCAAAGAAACCATGGGAGAACAAGAAGAAAATGTTAGAACTGACTCTTCAGTATCAAATCTTTCTCTCTTTTTTTTTCGTATTTTTAGTAGAGGCAGGAGTTTCACCATGTTGGCCATGCTGGTCTCAAACTCCTGACCTTGTGATCCACCCCCTTCAGTCTCCCCAAGTGCTGGGATTACAGGCGTGAGCCACCATGCCCGGCCCAGTATCAAATCTTTGACAGCCACTTTTCAAAAGTAAAATACCAATCAAATAAATTCAACCAAATTTTGACTAGAAAAAAAAAAATCAAGGCTACTTGAAATGTAAATTTACATCCACTGTTTTTTTTACTGTTGTTTTTTGAGATGGAGTCTTGCTTTGTCGCCCAGGCTGGAGTAGAGTGGCACAATCTCAACTCACTGCAACCTCCACCTTCCAGGTTCAAGCAATTCACCTGCCTCAGCCTCCCAAGTAGCTGGAATTACAGGCATGTACCACCACGCCTGGCTAATTTTTGTATTTTAAGTAGAGACGGGGTTTCACCATGTTGGCCAGACTGGTCTCGAACTCCTGACCTCAAATGATCCACCCCCCCTCGGCCTCCCAAAGTACTGGGATTACAGGCGTGAGTCCCCGCGCCCAGCCTACATCCACTGTTATTGAGAATTGAACTTCACTCTAAGTGTATATTTTGATTGAGTTAAGCTAATGATGGTAGCATATGTCTGTACTTTATGGGCAAATACACATATTTGGAAGAATTTTTTCGGCTGCGTGTCACAGCTAGTGCCTGTAATCCTAGCACTTTGGGAGGTTAAGGAGGGTGGATCAGTTGAGTCCAGGTGTTAGAGACCAGCCTGGGCAACATGGTGAAACCCCTTATCTACGAAAAAAAATTTCAAAATTAGCCGGGCCTGGTGGCACGCTCCTGTTGTCCCAGCTACTGGGAGGCTGAGGTAGGAAGATCACCTGAGCCCAGGTGGTCGATGCTGCAGTGAGCCATGATCATGCCACTGCATTCCAGCCTGAGAGAGAAAGTAAACCTGTCTCAAAAAAAAGAAGTTTGGAAGCCAGGCACAATGGCATATGCCTGCAGTCCCAACTAGTCCAGAGGCTGAGGTTGGAGGATCACTTGAGCCCAGGAGTTGGATTCTGTAGTGTGACATGATGGAGGCTGTGAAGAAAAACATAGGCCAGGCGCAGTGGTTCACACCTGTAATCCCAGCACTTTGGGAGGCCGAGGCAGGTGGATCATAAGGTCAGGAGTCCGAGACTAGCCTAGCCAATATGGTGAAACCCCATCTCTATTAAAAATACAAAAATTAGCCAGATTTGGTAGCAGGTGTCTGTAATCCCACCTACTCGGGAAGCTGAGGCAGGAGAATTGCTTGAACCCAGGAGGTGGAGGTTGCAGTGAACCAAGATCGCGACACTGCACTCCAGCCTGTATGACAGCAAGACTCCATCTCAAAAAAAAAAAGAAAAAAAAAAGAAAAACATTATAGCCATCTGAGAGGCCATTATCAAGTGACAAAATGTAGTTTATTGCTCTCAGATGAAAGCGTTCACTTCCCAGATATCAAAGCTGAGCTTATCATGAATCTACTAGTGAGCTAGCCACGTGATGAGACGAAGGCACTGACTATCAAATGATGGCTAACTGGTGAACTAAAGGAGGACTAAAATAGTAAGTAGAAGCATTGTCAGAACAATTGTCAACCAGTAGAGGAGGAAAAGACCTATGCTGATTAGATATCATCATCAGAGGTAGACTAGTCTAGTTTGGTGTGTGTGGAGTAGCGGGGTGGAGGGGGGGCGCGGGCGGGGAGTATACATAAAGCTGGTCATGGACTGAGAGGAAAGAATGGTGAGGGTGAGAAAGCCTGAGGCAATAGCTGCCTCTTAGGGAGTTGCCCATTCCTAGGGGTTGGCAGTGGTGGGCCCACCCAATCAGCCCCTGACAACATATGACTTATACGAAAAATGCATTTGCATTTCTCCTGTTTGTGTTGTTAAACACTAGAGTTTTGAAATTTTCTTTGCACACTCCCAGAAATGGCTCTTGAGTGGATGAAACCCCATTTCTACTAAAAATACAAAAATTAGCCAGGCATGGTGGCTCGCACCTGTAGTCCCAGCTACTCAGGAGGCTGAGGCACAATAATCACTTGACCCTGGAAGGTGGAGGCTACAGTGAGCCGAGATCATGCCACTGTACTCCATCCTGGGTGACAGAGCGAGACTCCCTCTCAAAGAAAAAAGTATACACATGGCTACTGGAGACAAGGGATTTTGGTGTCATATTTCTTTGAGTTACATTTATCCACCAGGAAACATCCTCAGCAGTGACATTTTCTTGGGTCACAGTTTAAATACTCTGGTTACATTTGGAGATGTGCTTCAAAGGTTATGGCTTGTTCATAGCTTTCCATGAGATTAATGTGTATAATTATTACTTGAGATTTAAAGTGTTTAGGTGTTCCAGTTCCCTAGTTAGCAATTTAAGCTGCATTCCAGAGATGACTGTCAGCAGACCCTTGCACTGTCCTTAGTGAGAGCCCTGTGTCACTGGTGGATCAAGATGGAGAGACCGTATATCACCGACAGAGAAGCAGAGTTGGAAAAAAAACAGGAAGAGAAAGTCCATTTTAAGTGTCCT